GGGTGAGCGTGTTAGAGTGTGTGTGTGTGTGTGTGAGAGTGTGGGTGAGTGAGTGAGTGTGAGTGAGTGTGTGTGTTCTCTGAAGTGGGCAGAGCAGGGGACGCTGGGACTTTCCTGCTGTCCTTAAGGATCGAGCTCCTCTGGGACTGAATCTACATCTGGTCCGTGTCGTTTCTCTTTCTCAAGGAAAGCACATTTAATCTCGGCTGTAGAGCTCTACAGAACACAATAGTGTCTTTATTCAGATCAGGTTCTGATCAAATACATATCACTTCAATTCAAGGCTCTTTTTCCTAAAATTCCATTTTTTTGTGTTCTATTTTACTAAGTTATTTTACAATTTTTTTTTTTTACTGCACTTTTTAAAATGCATTTTATTTTTGTTTTTTTAACAAATTCTGTTTTCAGTTTACATTTTCTGGATTTTTTTAATGGATTAATTAAAAAAGATTAATTCATAATCACAAAGCATGTCTGAATTGAAATCATGAAACTTAAAACGATTTAACAGCAATTCAAAGTTTAACAACATTTTGAAATACATTTAATTTTGACCAAATTTTGTGTTTTTGGTTTAGATTTTTCTGGATTTCATTTGAATGGTCTATAATGGTTCAAATTAAATTTGAATAAACAAAAAGCATGTCTAATTAATTGAAAGCATGCTGGGTTTAAAAAAATTTAACAACAAAAAAAAACGTTTTTAGGACCCTTTGAAGTGCATTTCATTTTTGTTAGATTTTTTTACGAAATCAAATTTTGTGTTTCGGTTTTGAATTTTTTTGAATGGTTTAAATGTCTCATTAATGAATTCAACAACAGTTTATTAAAAGCTTAACAAATACACGTGACAGATACATGTACAACAACAAAAATGTTTTTATGGCCATATGAAGAAATGTCTTGTGTATCTGAAGTGTGATGTGTCGAGCTCCTGCTGCTGATTTCTCTCTCTTCACGTCGTTTCATTTTCTCAGAAAAGCGAGGTTTATGTAACAGCTGATTAAACTCATTAGTTTCCCAGCAGCGGAAGTAATTGGAGTGTTGTGTAACGCGGTGTTCTGCTTTGATCCTCTCCTCCACGTGATACATTCACACACACAGAAGCTTTGCTCTACAGCTTATAATCATTACTCTGACTCTGTGAGGACACTGAAGTCACACCACAACTACTGTTTTCCAGCTGATGGATAACTATATATATATATCTATTAGAATAAATATTAGCAACATGGAATATCTACCGCTGTGCATGCATTTTAAACTGAAGTGATTAAACTATCAGTGTATTCTGTAGAATAATAATGATATTCAGTTGCTCTTACTGTAGTGAGCAGGGTTATTATAGTTCATTGACATTATAGTTAATGTTGCTTAAAATAAAATGCGTTTTATTTATAAATAAAACTAAAACTGAAATAAAAAGTATAAAAACGACAAATTAAAATGAAATGAAAACAAATTACGGAAATGTTAACTAAAACGAAAAGGGTAGTTATGCGTGCTAATTTGAAGTTAAAGTGATTAAACTGCTTTATACTCTGTATATAATGTGATTTCGTTTGCTGTGAGCAGGGTTATTATAGTAAACTAAAATAGCTTTTATTCACTTTAACTTTTAATTTATCCAAATCTAATGAACTGAAATAGAATAAATAATATAATTCAATTTTCATTTAACATTTTCCTGTTTAACTTGAAATAAAATTCTAAATAAAGCGACAATATAGACACAAAAAAGGCTAATAAAAAACAGAAAGAGAAACTTGATCTTAAAATAGAAAATAAAACGAATTAATATATTTTTAAAAACATCTGTATGACAATAGCACCGGCTGTATTTGATCATGACATCATATGAGCTCAGAATATGTTCCCCGGATGAAGTCATCTCTGTGTTTTGCTCTAAATAAAGCTTTAATGTGTTTCATGCAGAGAGCGTCGGGCTCTTTCGGTTTCAGAAGGACTGCAGTCAGATGCATGAAAGCCCCTGCGACCATCAGCTGTTCATGATGGAGCTGACGGGGGACGGCCGGGTTTGAAGAAGCTGTGAAGTTGAGAATCTTCCAGCGGCCTGCTGAAGTGAAGCTGCAGCACTAACCAGTCACGAGCTGCACTTTCCTCACATTCAGACTTCCATTACATTTAGTCATTTAGCAGACGCTTTTATCCAAAGCGACTTACAGATGAGGACAATAGAAGCAATCAAAACTAACAAAAGAGCAATGATAACACAAGTGCTATAACAAGTCTCAGTTAGCTTAATGAAGTACACATAGCAAGTTTTTAAAAAATTATATAATAAATAAAAAGAAAACAAATAGATGGAATACAAAAAGAATAGAGTTTTTTAAAGAAAACAAGCTGTTAGTAAATAAATCAAGTGTAAAAAGGGCAAGTTTTTTTTGTTTATAAAGAATAGAATTAGAATAGAGAGTGTTAGAGTTAGAGGGTCTAATAAAGATGGAAGAGATGTGTTTTTAGCCGATTCTTGAAGGATTGAGTTGGGCAGGTCATTCCACCAGGAGGGAACAGTTAATGTAAAAGTCTGTGAAAGTGATTTTGTGCTTCTTTGAGATGAACAATAAAGCGTCGTTCACTTGCAGAACACAAGCTTCTAGAGGCACATAACTCTGAAGTAATGAATTTAGGTAAAGGGGTGCAGAGCCAGTGCTGGGTTTGTTCACTTTTTTGTTTTTTTATAGATTTATGCATCATCTGAAAGGTGAATGAATAATCTTTCCATTGATGTATGGTTTGTTAGGATCAAACAATATTTGAAAATCTGGAATCTGAGGGTGCAAAAAAAATCTAAATATTGAGAAAATCATCTTTAAAGTTGTTCAAATGAAGTTCTTAGCAATGCATATTACTAATCAAACATTAAGTTTTGATATATTTACTGTAGGAAATTTACAAAATATCTTCATGGAATATGATC